TCTCAATAAAAGTCGAAATAATACACAGACATTATTAAATGGTTTTAATCTCTCAGCTGATTCAAATATTAAAAAGCTTTCTCATCTCTCAGCTGTTTCAAATATCAAATTATTTTATTATATATATTAATTATTTAATAATGTCATTTAATAATGTCTGTGTATTATTTTCGACTTTTATTGAGATTTCGTTGAAGGCAGAACGAAACTTTTAATAAGTGACTGTTGTTTGCAACAAATGTGCAGACAATTCTTGTTTTATATACATAAAGATGTATAGTTATTATTATTATAATAACACGTTTAGCAATCACGACAATAAACGTGCAGTTGTATGTATACCTTACTGGAAGCTTTCGGTAAGCTGAAATAAAAAAAAAAAAGAAATAGTTTTTATACGAGCGCTCGCGTAACGACGAAGTCTAACAAAACTGGAATGGAAAAGTTTTGATGGCTTTTTGCATGCAGGTTGACAGAACATGTCAATGATATTTGAGAAACGTCATGCGTGTTTCCCGTTTATTTTACACTATTGTCACTCATCCGTAGATAACGGAAATATTTGTGCAGATTCAAAAATGATCTTTTTCTCTTAAAAAATACCTACGAGCTTGAAAATACAAGGACACTGTAAAAATAATTAATACAGTGGAGACATACGTGCAAGTTTTTATTTTTGTACATGAAATTCAGTAAAATACCACGAGCAAATTACTTTACCCCAGAAAATCGTATCGATGCGAATAATATGAATTCAAATCCATATTTTTTTGGGTGCATAAAAATCCTCACTCTGGTGATTAATGTTATAAATCCGGACTTTTAATATTACATATAACAGGGGGCTCGCGTTCGAATAAAATACGTTTTACATCGCAACGCGTTTCATCATTTATAAACGACGAATGTAGAGGAATCGATTTAATCCCTAAAAATAGATTTATGTTTTCTTCTTTTTTTTTCTGTTTCATTCATTTCATTCCGTTCTATCGAACATATTTTTCATTTTACAGAACATAAACTGTAGTTCACGAAACTTTCCAAACAGACGTTCAATTTGTAGATTATAAACTCCGCGAGGTCACGGATAGCACGCCTCGATTGCCATACTAAAGTTAATAACAGAAGCGAAGAAATTTATCACTCGATGCATTTGCTCTCGGAATCGCAGTTGCTTTAATCGAGTTCAGCCACGCACGAAAATCACGGAAGCTAATTCCGATTATCCAACTGCGGCCATTTTGGGATTCGAAGTTCCCGGGAAGTTTCGCGAGAACGATAAACTGTTTCGGAATCTCCCCTGTTCCCGACGATATTTGTTCCGAGCCAGCAGAATACGGAATCCGTGATTCGTGCTGCCATCTGCATTCCAC